CTCAGCGCTCTCAGTTCAATTTGAGAGCTTTCTCTCCCAGAGGATTTACACATAGAGGCACATCACACCCATGTACATGGGAGACAGGGGAAGATCTCAAGTCCGACGTCCCTCAAAGCCATTTAAAGTGGGCCAGGTGAACTTTCTTCCCCCCTGACAGCCAGCCAGCCCCAACAGGACAACAAGAAAAGCTGGAAAAGCTGCCGAATTCCCACCCACCCAGGATGACCCGAGCCAGCCCGATTCCTAAAAATCCTGCCGCATCATCCCAAACTGACCCGTTTTTCTCCACACTTCCCTTGCAATGGGCGGGACATTGGGCAGGAAGGCAGGACGGACAAATGGGGCTTCACTGGGCAAGGATGGGGACCTGAGAGACCCTTTCCTTCCACCTGATCCACATTCTGTCCTCCCCTAAGGGAGAAAGGCAAGACGTGGCAGGCAGAAAGAGCTGGATCGTCTGGCGGCAGCACCAGATCCACTGTCAGCACCGTGGCTGCAGCTGCCTTCACAGGTTTGGCTCACCCCAGTGCCCTCCTACTGCCCCCCTTCTGTTCCTTCACGCCCACACCGCCCCTTTTCATTCTACCTCCTCCCTGAAAAATGAAACCAGATCCACTGTCAGCACCGTGGCTGCAGCTGCCTTCACAGGTTTGGCTCACCCCAGTGCCCTCCTACTGCCCCCCTTCTGTTCCTTCACGCCCACACCGCCCCTTTTCATTCTACCTCCTCCCTGAAAAATGAAATCGCTCCCTGGGGGGCGCTATCACCCACGTTAAGAACCACTGCTGTAGATCACCCAGTCAATCCAGATCTGCTTTTGCCCATGCTTCATTTAGAGGACTTCCCAGCCATGTATATGCACCCTGCCTCCCGCCTGGCCACTAGGCAAAACACCTGGAGCTTGACGACCCACTGACCGTCCTTTCCCAGCTTGTAATGTTCTTCAAGATTTGCTGTCCACAACTAATGGCTCTCTGCCTCTCCCCCTCTTGAGTCCAGGGGGCATTGTTATGATGTCACCATTTCCTCTGTGACCTTTTTTTAAAAGCCTAAGCATTCATGCAGGGATGGGGATAGATACAGGGTCTCTGAGCAGTCTCTTGACCCACACTGTATTACAGCACCATGTTCTCCATGGAACACACAGCACAGAGGGAGGGCTCCCTTTGAAATCTAAGGCTGAAAGTAATGATTGTGCTGGATAGATAATCACTGAGCCTAGAAAAGGTCCCTCCCAGTCACACAAATTATAGGCAGCATGCAAGGTTGCAAACAAAATTCCATCGCTCTGTGTACTCTGTGTGATGGAAGATGGATTCAGCTAGTAATCACCATCACTGCCTCTCTCTGTCTGGGAATGAAATGACCTGTTGAATTTTTATCTGTCACAGAACTGAACATTAGTAATGGCCACTTTTAATTAAACTGGGTGAGAATCAAGCATACATCTTCCTTTTTTTGTTTTTGTTTTTGGTAATGTTTTTGTGTATGTATTTATGATACGCTGTAAGCTGCCCAGAGTGGTAAAATATACCAGATGGGTGAGATATAAATCGAATAAACAAACAAACAAACAAACAAACAAATAAATAAATAAATATTCTCTTTTCAAAGCTACTTTGTTTCTGGTGTGTTGCTGAAAAAAGAAGGGAAAAGGAAATAAAAAAAGGAACATAAATGATGTCATTTCCCCTTTTAGCGGTTTTACAGCAGCAAACAAGGAAAGTAATCACTCTGTATGTTAAAAAGGCAAGTGTACTTCCCACTTCATGAGAAGGCAGGTGTTATTATTGTTGTTATTTGCCATCAAGTCCCTTCTAATTTATGTCAACCCTATGAATGAATGATCTCCAAAATGTCCTGTTCTCAACAGTCCTGCTCTGCTCCTGCAGACTCAAATCTGTGGCTTCCTTTAGGGAGTTAGCCCATAATTGGTCTTCCTCTTTTCCAGCTGCCTTCTATCTTTCCCAGCATTATTATCTTTTCCAGAGAATTCTGCCTTCTCGTGATATGCCCAAAGTAGGACACCTTCAGCTTCAACATTTTTGCAAGGCAGGTAATTAGCTAAAATTTATTTTATCGGTTGAAAACCTAAGGGCACCAGAAATGTCATGTAGCCTAGTGAGTGACCATTTCCTTACTTTAGCGCAGCCTTCCCCAGCTTGATGCCTCCCAAATGTCTTGGAACACAGTTCCAGAACATCTGATTTAGCACAGGATGGACCCTGCAGTTCAGGATGGGAAGCTTTGGCAGGTTCAGGGCCCAATTTCATTCCCTCCAAACATGTTGGGGGCATGTCAAAAACAGGCAGTGCATATGATTTGGAAGTAAAACAGAAAGCAAACCCTCGGTTCCACACAACTAGGTGTGCAGGGACCCAACACCTTGCTTTAGGGAGAAAACACAGTGAGGCCATGGCATCAAATTCAGTGAGGAGGACAGAGCCAAGCATACAGTTGTGGGACCAGGCATGTGGCCTTGTTTCCCATCCCTTCTATAATCTCATACATCTGGAGAGTGGCAAATTGGAGCAGAGCTTGGAAAAAAAATGAATTCGATCACCATTGGTCAGATCTGCTTTGATTTGGATTGAGCAGGGGGCTGGACTTAATGGCCTTATAGGCCCCCTTCGAATTCAGTTATAGAATAACTGAATTCTTACCCATTTTAATTCTATGAGTCTACGATTCTAGAACTCCCAGAACCACCTAGCCAGCATGGAATATGCTGTTGCAGGAGACATGCCTGGAAGTTACAGCCCCCAAAAGTGATTTTTTCCAAGCTTTGAGCTGGAGTAGTCAGCCTTAATAAGGATATGTGAGAAAGCTAGAAAATAAGAATTTGATTGACAGTGAAGAAACAGAGGTGTTTTGGAACAGCTCCTGGAGGCTGCCTCATTTCTCTCTCTCCTCTTGTGCAAATCCACCTCCACCTGGGGATACCTTTTGAGCAGATCCTTTTGACACGATGCCAGGCAAAGTAAATATGTGTGAGAGACAGACTCAGGCTCAGGAAGATACTGGCTAGCAGGATGCAACTGACAGTTATTAAGTGCCTTCCAGAGCTGAGGTTGATTCCAACGGTGTTCATAAAACAGCATGCTTATCCTTCCCTCCTGCTCCTTTGGCCATGCAAACCACTTGGTTATATGTGCCAGAAATCCATCCGGTATTAGATTCTCCCCATTTAGATCATGTTGTCAAGAACCCTTCTGAAATGTTCCACTTTAGTCTATAATGTGATGTGGATAACATTTGATAGAAATCCTGCTCCTTATGCAAACCACTTGGTTATATGTGCCAGAAATCCATCCGGTATTAGATTCTCCCCATTTAGATTATGTTGTCAAGAACCCTTCTGAAATGTTCTTTAGTCTATAATGTGATGTGGATAACATTTGATAGAAATGACTGGGGTTAAATTTGCCTGTCCTTAGGACCCTGCAGGGACTGTATAGCCCTGGCACCTGCTGTCAAATTTCTCAGATCTGTCCCAATGGTTCTTAACCTTTGTTACTCGGATGCTTTTGAACTGCGTACCTGCTGTCAAATTTCTGAGATCTATCCCATTTAAAGCAAGCAAAATATGTTTCCTGGGACAATTTTCAAGGGTGCTTGTGGCGCAAGGGGCCATTTAAAGCAAGCAAAATGTGTTTCCTGGGACAATTTTCAAGGGTGCTTGTGGCGCAAGGGGCCATGTTGCTGCAGCCTGTAGGTTGGATGTTGCTTAGCTCTAATATATATATGGGGGGTTAGGTATCTGGCTGAAGAGCTGAGGTTGGGAGTTCAGTTCCCCACTGTGCCTCCTTGACGATCCACTGGGTCCCTCCCAGCTCTGCAGTTCTAAGATTATATATAATCATGAGGGATGTGCATTACTTCCACTGTTGGAGGCCCTGTGTCTCTGTATACCAATTGCTGGGAAAACACAAGTGGGAGGGCACTACAATTCTGTGTTTGGGGCTTCCCATTCAAACTTAGTGGCCACTGTGGGGAGAGAATGCTGGATTAGACAAGATATATACAGTATCTGACCCAGCACAGCTTGTGTTTTCTGATTCAATGTCCTCTGTATAAAAGGCTCCCTGCACATAAAAAAATTAAGTATCAGGAAGAAGAGAAGCATTCCAGCCTTCTGTAGCGTTCACCCTCGTGCCCCTTGCTTGACTGTCAAGCCTCAGAGCACACGAAGACAAACCATCCCCTCTTTTACACTGCTGCCACCAGGTGATCACTAAATCACCATTACTTCAGGAAGATTCAGGTCCACACTTCAAGGTCTTTTAAACAGAACTTTTGTTTATTGATTACAGAGATTGAAATTGATTCATGAATATCTTCTGTAGGTAAAGGTATTATTAACAACAACCTTCTACTGTAATTGGTAGTACACTCCTAATTCTAATCACACCCCAGAATTCCCCAAACTCCACACTCTATTCCCTTCTCTCATACTCTACTCTTACTGACTCTGTTACTCTTACTGACTGACTCTGACTCTCTGACTCCGCCTCTTATAGCATCTCTCTTGGCTCCGCCTCTCAGCAACATGAATATGCATGAATCATTACATAACAAAACATGAACCATTGACCTAATAAATGGGGAATGCTACACCTTCCATGCTAGATTTCTAGATGCAGGAATATAGCTGTGGCATAGACATTCAGATGTGTAGCTCCATCCTCAAATGCAGACTAAAGTGAGTCAATCCATCCAGAAACAGTTTCGTGTGATCAGCTGCCACTGCTGGTCTTCTCTATGCTCTCTGTGTTCTCCACCTTAAAAGGATCTGTAAATTTGTTTACAAAATGCTAAAGATTATGCTCCTGTATGTACCAAACAAACAAAGCTGTCTAATTTGGAAGGTTGCTTTTCTACATTGGCAAAAATAAACCAGTCTTCTGTACCTTAAAATCTAACCTGTTTCATTCGGCATAATTTTGTAGATTGAAGCCCACCTTCTCATGCGGTGCCTCTGATGGAGTAGTCTGCAAAGCCGTAATTGCTTATGCCAAAATCAATGTGTGAGGCTTTAAAGTGTCACCAGACCCTCTTTTGGATTGGTTGCAACACAGCTACTCCCTACCCCAAGATGTTGGGTAGACAGCCTATTGGCCGCTTCCAGTATTTCACAGACAGAGGGTCCTGTCTGATAGGGCTGGGAAAGTGGGGTCCATCAGAAGGCAGAACCCCAGCACTGTTTCCCTTCTGCAGCAGCAAAATTTGTGACACTTCTAAGATACCAGGCTATCTCCTCTCTTACTCTCAGGCTACAAATCAGCAAATAGTTGACTTCAGTAGCTGTCTTGTAAGATTTAGCAGGGAAGAGTCACTCTGTATTTGCAGAAACAATAATTGCAATATTTATAGGACAGGCTCGGTTAAAACGCTGTGGTGGTAGGTTGTTGGGTTTTTTTTGTAATAACTAGCAGGAGTGGAGGGTGTTCTTCCTTTCTCTCTGCCCATAATTTCTTTGCCAGCTGCCACAAGCCAGTGGAATTTATGACATCTGGGCAGGGACAAGCAGTGAGGCCAAAGGAACAGTGTCTTACCTGCCAAGCCAGCTTGCCAAAGGTCTATTTTGGAGAATTGCTGTGGATGCTGTTCTTGGCTCTGGGCCTTTCCTCGAAAACATCAGTCAGTGATGCTCCTGAACGCTCACCGCTGAACAGAGGAAATGAAAAGCACCTAGCTGCCCCTCTGTGCTTCTAGGTACAGAGTGCCTTTCCCTTATTTCTTGATAAATACCTGGGAACTGAGCACCAAGAATCTGAAAATGAGGACAGGGCTTTATCTTATTGATAAATGTAGATATTATTATAATTTATTTTGTTTAGTACTTACCTTTGCTATCAGTGTGAGTTAGCAGCTATGTTAAGTAACAGATTAAGCCCACTGAAATATCAGAATAAGTAGCAGAGTGCACTTTTCCTTTGGAGAGTAGTTGCATCCAGACTGCATTAAGAATACAAGGCTAGTATTTGTACTGT